AGCATTACAAATTTAAAAAAAAGAAGGAAAGAAAAGAAAAAAAGACCAAAGGACAAAGCCCTTAGCTAAGCCAGTAAAAAACAGTGTTGAACGCCCAGCCTATTCGGACAGCGTCAACTCTCAACCATTTACAGCTGGAGTCGCTACGTAACTTTCACGCTTTCGTGATCTTCAAGCGGCTAGAATTGCCCAGTAAACGATTTAAGATATTGGGATACGAGCCGGTGAAACAAGGTGTAGACTTTTGGTGTGAAACAAAAATTATACGAACAGGATAGATAAAGAAATTCTTGATGAAAGACGACAGATAAGGGACATGATTAAATTCGACTACATGATGTTACATGAACTGATGACAAGCTAAAACATCCCCCTATTCAGATGTACACGCAAAATAGGGGATGTATACGCAAGTTCTGATAGAATTCAGACTATCACGAGCTTGTATGTGTGTGTGTTTTATTATGAGCGAAGAGCTTTTATGCGAGCATGTCTGTGGTTAGAGGTGGGAGGGTTCTGAGCGTGTGTTTTGGATGAGTGCGGTTATAGGTTGAGGGTTACGGGGAGGGGCGTGCGTAGTTGTGCGTGCATATCTCTGTGTGCAGATATGGGACAGGAACTTGTGTGTGTATATATATGAATGTGTGTCTCTGTGTATGGCCGAAAGAGCGCATGTATGTGTGTTAGTGTGTGTCTGTACGGGGGTGTGTATGCGCGTGCGTGAGGTTATGGGTAAAGACGAAGTTAATAAGTAGTTTCACAAATAAGACATATATATATATATATATATATATATATATAAGTTTATGAAACTTTTGTTTAGGATTATGACTTTTGTAAGCTAATTGATTTCGTATTTGTTAAAAAATAATGATGGGTTTAATTCAGTTTATTTTTAAAAAGATGTCACCCCAACAGGAAATTTCTAAAATTATAGTCTCTATGGCTTTCTGGAGCCTTACATATATATACATATTTTTTATGTTTACACGGTCTTTTTATAGATACAAATATTTAAGTAAATGCTTTGTTTATAATAAACAGTATTAACAACATTTAACGGCCTGAATGTCCGAGAAATTTTCATAAAAATTATGCGTGCTGCGACAGGAATCGAAACCGTACCATATACGGAACTGTCATATAGGCTGACGTGCCTTAACCGATTGAGCCACAGAGGAATGTTACGGTTAGCTAGGTCGATTTTACTGTTTTTTAACACACTTCTCCATGATTTTCTCTCATACATTCATATTTGCTCGATGCGTATCCAAATGTAAACAAATGTCACACATTATGAAATAGACGAAGTCCAATAATTATTTTTTAAGACATTTTTTTTATGTTTATACATTCTTTTTATTTATAGATACTTAAATATTTGTATGTATAAAAAGAACGTATAAACATAAAAAATTTTTTTAAATAATTATCGGACTTTGTCATAATATATATATATATATATATATATATATATATATATATATATATATATATATATACACACACACACAGAGAGAGAGAGAGAGAGAGAGAGAGAGAGAGAGAGAGAGGATTCCCCCGTATTCGCGGCCACGAACAATTAGAATCCGCGAATACTTGTAACCGCCCCTAAAAGTGCTTATAAGTACCTATTTTGATTGTTAAAACCCCTTGTCTTAAATTTTCATCCTAAACATTTTAGAAACATTTCAGACCCTTTTAAAATCATTTTTTAAAAATAGTATTGGTGACCATACACTTAGCGTAAATTTTCTTTCATACGTACCGTTTTTAATTAGGCATAAATCGATCCAACCATTGAAAATACTGTATAAAATACGTGTAACAAGACATAAAATATAAATTTTGAAACATTTTCTAATAACAGAACTGTGATGATGCCCCCAGACATAGCATAAGCCACTTTTAAGACGCTAGTCAAAGCCCCTAACAAAGAATAAAGCCGAAGAACTACGCATGTTTTTGTATTTGTTTTTTTTTACTATGAACATGTAAAATTCTGCCAATTTTTACCATAAAACTGGACTGTTATATGTAAATAACAGGAATATAATACAAGAATATTTTAAATATGTTCTATCGAAAAAATACGCGAATCGAGGGAGTTCTCAGTGAATAATTTTTATTCAGGGGTTTCCGCGAATAACAAGTACATATGTTCTAAAGAAAAATCCACGAATGCGTAAAGCCGCGAATACTGAAACGCCAGCAGGTGGGACTCACTATATATATATATATATATATATATATATATATATATATATATATATATATATATAATTATTTATTTAAAAAAAAAATTATAACATAAATATGTTATAAAATCACTACAAAAATAGCCATTTTGTTTCAACACCCTCAGTGTCTTATCAAGTGATGATGTTGAATAATTCATTCCATATACACCAATCATATACTTGTATATATATATATATATATATATATATATATATATATATATATATATATATATGTATATTGACGTCTAAATGATGCAATAAAATAACACTGACATCTCATTTTAACAGATATTTTTACCAAAATTACACAAAAATATCTTGAAATACTAAAGTTTACATTTATTCAATAAAATCGCCATTAGCTTCAACCATGGCCTCCAGACGACTTCTGAATCTCCTTCAAGTCTTCTGCTTGAACTTAGTTAAAAATAAAAGTCATCTTGAATGGCTGAAAGCACTCGGATATCAAGAACATTTTGACAATCTTTGCACACTTCATGGCTAGAAAGAAAACTTTTGACCTTTTAAGAAAATTTAAATAAAAAGCTTAATCGCAGTATCTTGTCGGTCGTCTTTAATGAAACTTGTATAAAATAGAGATTGTTGCCCAAGTTATACACAATACACAAATTATATATATATATATATATATATATATATATATATATACAGTGTAACCCGGATATAAGAGAGTTGTCGCGACCGGAGAAGTCTCTTATATCCTGGTTTCTCTTATATCCGGGTTTGGTCTATTTTATATACATTAACACAGGCTCTAATTTGGGACCAGAGAAAATCTCTCTTATATCCGGGTTTCTCTTATATCCGGGTTTGGTCTATTTTATATGCATTAACACAGGCTCTAATTTGGGACCAGAGAAAATCTCTCTTATATCCGGGTTACACTGTATATATATATATATATATATATATATATATATATATATATATATAAGTAAACGTAAATAGCCAGACAAACCTACCTAGGGTAAACTGACGATCCGCGTAGATGAAACCTAGGTAGGGTTGTCTGGCTCTTTAGGTTTACTTAATTTGCTCTGTTTAGCGTATTGAGCACTTTGCTTAGTTATTTGTACTTTACTCGTGTCGGAGTTTTTTTTTTTTTTACTCTGAACTTTAATTTTAGACGATTATTTTTGCCGGAAGTACATGTTCTTAGTTCTTTCTTTTTTTTTTATCCTTTTTTAACTTTGGGTATTGGTTTGTTCATTTACAAGCTAAAACACCTAAGGTTTTGCCGAACGAGTATAGCTGTTTGTACTTATAAGATTATTAGTATTATATATATATATATATATATATATATTGTGTATATTTAAGCAGGAATTTTTCATTAATGCATGTTTCATTAAATAATATAGACAAGTTGTGTCTATTTTAAGTAATTTCCTTTCTTTCATATTGTCTGATAAGCTTAATAACATTATCAATGAAAGACGAAAGGAATATATATATATATATGTATATATATATATATATATATGTAAAATAATAGCTGGCCATTTGTATTCGAGGATACCCGTCTACTAGGGCGGCTCGCCAATCCTTAATTCAGATGCTCGCTCAACCACATTTGTATTGGTTCAACACCCACAGAGCCCAACAACAGACCTTAGTTACAGTTTCTGGGAGAGAGCGTGTTACCTAGCCTGATCAACAATCTGAATAAGGCCAACACAATAAAACCCTCGGTCACGTTGACATTTGACTTCGTGATAGCACAGCTATCGACAGTCCCCCAAGTATTCCGTCTATCCAATTTCACTCGAAAGGCTTGGGTCAAACCTTGGTAAGGTTTTCAGACACATTCCAGAGGTGCCGCACGTTGGGATCCCCCCCTCCAGACCGATAACGTCAGGAAGTATCAAAGTCTCCTCCTTGACTAATCAACCGTGGTGAGATTCGAACCAGGTCTCATGTTCGAAACCGAACGTTTTACCTCGACCACCCACCAATAATAATATATATATATATATATATATATATATATATATATATATATATATATATATATATATATATATATATATATATATATATATATATATATATATATATATATATATATATATATAATAATACCTATTAAAATGAAATGTCTGTGTTATTTTCATTTTTGCGTAATTTAATAAATGTTATGATCCTTGTTTTTAAAATTATGAACTCTATTAGGTCTTCCTTAAATGTGCAAGTACTTTCAACGGATTCTCCGGCCATCATCAGGCATGGAAAATATTTTCTTTTTGGTAAAATTCAGGTAGGATACGAGACGAAAAGATATAAAGCAAATCGAAAAGAATTCATTCATTGAGTGGTTGATGCATTTTTAAAATTTAATTAGCCAAGTGAATTCGCCATTTTATCTCATTAACTTTATTAATTTACTTTTTGTCTGAATGATTCATTGTAATACATACATATATATATATATATATATATATATATATATATATATATATATATATTTTTTTATGTATTTTGGCAGCTTGTCATTGAGGCATGTTTCATTGAATAATTTAGACAAGTTTTGTCTGCTTATTTTCAATAGGATACATTCATATTCTCGGATGAGCTTTTTGGTGTCGGCATTAAATAGAGAGAGAAGATTACCGTGTCGATACATATTGCTTCATTCTGTGTACTTTCAACATTAACACAATGTCATCCTCGGGGTTTGTTTGTAAGACAAAAATGTAGTGCGTGTTATTTCCATTTGTCTAGTATGATTTTGCTAAGTCTATTCATATCTATCTATCTATCTCATTCTGTTCGTATCTATCTATCTATCTTCTAAGTCTGTTCATAACTTTCTATCAATCTATCTTCTCACTCTGTTCGTATCTATCTATCTATCTATCTATCTCAGCCTTTTCATGTTTATCTGTCTCTGTATATTCATATCTATCTATCTATCTATCTATCTATCTATCTATCTATTTTTCTATCTATCTTCTAAGTCTGTTCGTAACTTTCTATCTATCTATCTATCTAGCTTCTCAGTCTGTTCGTATGTATGTATGTATGTATGTATGTATCTCAGCCTTTTCATGTTTATCTATCTCTGCATATTCATATCTATCTATCTATCTATCTATCTATCTATCTATCTATCTCAGCCTTTTCATGTTTATCTGTCTCTGTATATTCATATCTATCTATCTATCTATCTATCTATCTATCTATCTATCTATCTCTATCTTCTAAGTCTGTTCGTAACTTTCTATCTATCTATCTAGCTTCTCAGTCTGTTCGTATGTATGTATGTATGTATGTATGTATGTATCTCAGCCTTTTCATGTTTATCTATCTCTGCATATTCATATCTATCTATCTATCTATCTATCTATCTATCTCAGCCTTTTCATGTTTATATGTCTCTGTATATTCATATCTATCTATCTATCTATCTTCTAAGTCTGTTCGTATCTATCTATCTATCTATCTATCTATCTATCTATCTATCTATCTTCTCAGTCTGTTCGTATGTATGTATGTATGTATGTATGTATGTATCTATCTATCTATCTATTTCAGCCTTTTCATGTTTATCTATCGCTGTATATTCATATCTCTCTCTCTCTCTCTATCTATCTATCTATCTTATAAGTCTCTTCGTAACTTTCTATCTATCTATCTATCTATCTATCTATCTATCTATCTATCTCAGCCTTTTCATGTTTATCTATCTATGTATATTCATATCTATCTATCTATCTATCTATCTATCTATCTATCTATCTATCTATCTAGTGTCTATTTGCGAATGGTAGCTGGTAGCAAAATGAATATACTGTGACCATTAATATATTTATTTATACGAGCTCAATTCTGAATTAATCAGTATCTCACTACAGCAGTAATAATTTGTAGGAGAAGTTAATTAATGAAAATAAGGACAAAGCTTTGTGAAAAGCTACAAATGATCCAGTAGAATCGTTGAAGTAAAAGAAAGTAGAAACATGGCGTCGATTGATTCATTCTTACTTCGAGCGTTATCCTTTTCTTTTTTTTTCAAAATCACCGTCCGCCTTCTGGGTCACGTGGCGTCTTTCTCAGCGCAGCTAATAACGATAAACAAAGACGCCACTCAAACGTGTGTGAATCCTGGCCCATTTACTTCCCTGGGGAATAATTTAAGCTTCATTGAAATATTATATTCTTTATTCGGATTAAGCGAGGCAATGCGAAGATTTAAGAGAAACAAGTGCAATAAGACACTGATTAATCTGAATTTATCTAATATATAAAGGTTAAATTTTGTGTGTTCGTCAGCTCGGGATCCTTTGAATTAATTAAAATGGTCATGTAAAATAAAGATCATTTTTAAAAATTTATATCTACGTAAATATTTTGGCCTACGTAGTGTTTCTTTCTTATAGCGGGGCTCAGATTGAATAATTTAATGACATATCAACCCATATTGTCTTATTTTATGTTGATAAGAAGTACTAGATAACAAAAATCACAAGAAATGCATAAATATTTTGAAACAGGTCCAGTCTAATCTTGTGTCAAAAAGCTAGAATTAGGTCCAGTCTACACTTTAATCACAAAGCTAGACTTAGGTCCAGTCTACACTTGTCTCAAAAAGCTAGACTTAGGTCCAGTCTACACCTGAGTCAAAAAGCTAGACTTAGGTCCAGTCTACACTTGAGTCAAAAAGCTAGACTTAGGTCCAGTTTACACCTGAGTCAAAAAGCTAGACTTAGATCCAGTCTACACTTGAGTCAAAAAGTTAGACTTAGGTCCAGTCTACACTTGAGTCAAAAAGCTAGACTTAGGTCCAGTCTACACTTGAATCAAAAAGCTAGACTCAGGTCCAGTCTACACTTGAGTCAAAGAACTAGACTTAGGTTCAGTCTACACTTGAGTCAAAAAGCTAGACATAGATCCGGTTTGTTTTGTTTCTCTTTTTATGTGCCATGTCCTTTCAGGACGTAGGCGATCATGGCTCTCCACCTCCCTCTCTCCCTTGCAGCTCTCAGAGAGTCCTTTCCTTTGCTTCCTTCCCCAGACAACGTTCTGTTATCCACTTGCTTAAGTTCACCAGGTATGTCACGTATTGTTTTCCCTTGTCTCTCTTTCCTTCTATTCGACTCGTGAGTATCAGATTCTCCAAGCCCTCCTTCCTCATTATATGTCCCAGAAACATTAGCTGCCTCTTCCTGATATTAAGTATAAGCCTCCTTCTTGTTTGCAACTTCTCTAAGATCTCATCGTTGCTTACTCGCTCGGTCCATGATATCCTTAGCATTCTTCTGTAGAACCTAATCTCTGTCGCCTCGAGTCTCTTCTTCATCTTTGAGGAAATAGTCCAACATTCGCTGCCGAAAAGAAGGACAGATGTCACGTAACAGTTCCGTATTCTCGCAGTACAACTTTTGGAATGTGTCCTTGACCATCCCGATACGCCTACAGATCTCAGTTTCGTGCTTAGCGTCCTCTGTCAAGACGCTACCCAGATATTTCAACTTCCGTGTCTACTCGATTCTAGTGTTTCCGACCTTCAGATCGCATTTCGGGCTCGTCCTCCATCTTCTTTTAGTTTATGCTTAGTCTTTTCGTCTCGCTCTCCATCGCTACCTTCTGTGAGAGATTTTCTAATTCCATTTCCGTGTCTGGGAAATAAGAGGAGGAATAATTGAGAATCAGACGTGATACCGGACTGGCGCTACAACATCACAAAAAACAGTACCAGGAGTTTCAAATGAAACAGCAAGTATAATTCATTTAGGACAGATATTAGAATGATATAAAATTTATACCGTCATCAAACTGCTTTTATACCGATAGAAAATGAATTTAGTAAACAGTTCAGTATTCTTTGTTACCAAAGATCCGGTTTACACTTGATTAAAAAAAAAAGGCCAGGATTAAATTTGTGTCAAAATATGAGACATAGGCCCGGTTTACAGTAGAGTAAAAAAAGATATAAAAAAACCCGAGTCTACAATATCCACCCGGAAAGTGGCCCTATAGAGCAGAATATGCTAACAGCTTTCCCTAAGGTTTGCATATTCTAACCCATGGACAGTTCCTTAGAGATCACCTATATTCAGTTTAAAAAAAAGATAATTAAATAATGCGTTTTTATTCTTTTTTTATAAATTAAGCTAAGATTATTTCATGTACATTTATGTGTGCGTGTGTGTGTAGACTTGTGTGTGCTCGTGTATGTGTATGTATGCGTGTGTTGATGCATGTGTCTGAGTGTATGTATGCGTGACTGTGTGTCTGAGTGTGGGTTTCTGTATATGTGCGTGTGTGTATCTGTTTGAATACCTGTGTGAGCGTGTGCGTGTATGTTTGTGTGAGAGTATGCGTTTATGTGTATCTGCGCGCTTGTGTGTGTGTATGTCTGCATGCCTCTAGGCAAACATTGCGTAAAATCTGTGACATCAAATTAATGCCGTTTTATAATTGAGTGATTTATCCAAACACCCACGCGAATAAAGTATGGCACAAGGTCAAACGAAAAGTAGAGGAGGGGAGAGAGAGAGATGAGCTTCTGTGTTTTGGTCATCCATATTTTTGGAGGTGCACCTATATAAACTGTTGTATCGTCCGCATAGATACCCACCCACTAAGGATCGAGATATGCTCCTAGGCAGTTCATTAATATACAGTAGAAAGAGGGTAGGACCGAGGAGGGGACCCTGGGAAATTCCAAAATTGATCTTAAAGAAACGGGGAGGATTCACCCTTGTGTATGTGTCATGGCGGGTCCTAGTCGTAAAGTTCAGGGTTGGTGGGACCAAAAGATATCAATTATGTGCCAAGCGTGATTTTCAAAAATTTAAATATAATATTATCAGATATAAATTTTTGAAGATTGTAGTTACCAGTGAAACAAGTAAACAGAAAGGATTTCCACAGGAGGGAAGTACGAGAAAATAAACTGTTCGAGTAGAAATGGCGGTTGCATTTAGCTATTCCAACAGTAAATGGGGTGTCAGTCTTGTAGCCTGCTTAAATTCATGTAATCGGAGCACCAGCGAAAAAAACTCGTCAGAGCAGTTACCATGAAAATAATTTCGATGCTATATTGTTCGAATCCCACGTATCTTGCATATATATATATATATATATATATATATATATATATATATATATATATATATATAATCATTTATTCGAAAATTATAACATAAATATGTTATAAAATCACTACAAAAAAGCCATTTTGTTTCAACACTTCTGGTGTCTTCTCAAGTGGTGGTTTTGAATGTAGAATAAAGGGTTTTAAAAGGTTCAAATCAATCAAACACCCCTCGCTAGGGGAAACGCTGTTACATAAGTTGGAATGACCAATCAAAATACAAGTGTATGGGTATTCAAAAAACTTGACAACGAACTTTGGTTATAATAATTAATGCTTTTATGTTAGGGTTAGACTAAAATAGAATTCGTTCTAACTAATTAATATTAAATTTATTATAAAATTCAAAATTCAAAATTACCAATTTTAAATTTATATTAAGTTTAAAATTATAAAATTATTTAAAGAAGAAACTGAGGAAAAAATACATATGTTTTTTTATTTTGTTTTTAGTGAAATTAAGTTGGAATAAACATTAAGATCTAATGCTGCTCTGAACTCAGTTACAACTTAGATACATTTGAATGGAAGATATGGGTTAGGGACGGTGAAATCTTGAAAAAGACAATACACACACAATCAGATTATAACACACAAACACGCAGACATATTTAGATATATAAACACACAAAAAATAGACGAGACAGGAAATATATCCACGGCCCTTAAAAAATCGCCCCAAAAAACGGCAACATATACATCCAATAAAAGTCACATATAAGTGATTATACACACACACATTGATAAAGAGTAAAGACTTCCATACTTCCCATACTTAATACTTCTCGTTTTCACTCTCGCGTGGTCATGTGTGACGTCACGAGTTGCATCGCGATTTTCGCTTCCGTGTCTCGTATACACGAATTAGTCGTTGCTTTGAAATTTTTCATGCAACAAGAACAGACTATCATTATTGTTTCGTCCGTGTATTGGTTGATATATTGAAAAGTAATTGTCATCTTTGATAATGGCTTATGTAAACCGAAATTTATATTGGATTTAAACATGTATCAATATGGTGATTTCCTTTCATCTTTCAATGATAATGTTATTAAGCTTATCAGACAATATGAAAGGAACTTAAAATAAATAGACAAAACTTGTCGATATTATTTAATGAAACATGCATTAATGAAAAATTGCTGCCTAAATATACACAATATATATATATATATATATATATATATATATATATATATATCATCATTATTATTATTATTAAATATAACCGACATTGAATGTCGATTATGTTTGATCCGTTTTAATGAGCCGTTCTAATTTTCGAATGTTTGCTTTAATTTCTGGTGAAAATAAGGACAAAAATTGTCTAACATTTGGATTCGTTTTAACAAAAAATATCCACGTCAAGATGCGTTTCTTTGATTTACATTTTGCATCTTGAACTTACGATCTGCGTCTGCTATTCCGCGACCGTTATCGTCGCATAGCAACTTGTCAAAATAACAAAATGTCATCTTTGACGCTGGATATCTTTGTTTCATATCTGCATAACCACCCAGAGAATGGCTCATGTTAGCCGAAAGCTTAAGACCAAAAGTTAAATTCTCTATAAATCACATTACCAGAAACATCTCGCTATTAGAGAAGCTCTGTATATTAAATCTCTCTCCTGCTATCAACCTGGCATTATTTAACAATGGAAATAGAGGTTTTTGAAGTTTTTTATTTAAATATAAAGATTCTCACGGGAATTCCAGCCGCGCTCAACAAGTGAAGGCTCGGAATAAACGCGCCTATTCAAAGAAACACAAAAATAGAATACAACTTAAACGGTCAAAACACGAGTAAAAACTAACACAAAAAAACCGCTTTGAAAAAAAAAACCGCTAAAGAAGTGACAGAAAGCGCTTGGGACAATGAAAATTATGTAAATTTCTAAACTCCCTCACTATATATATATATATATATATATATATATATATATATATATATGTATATATATATTCAGACATTTTATGTTTATACGTTCTTTTTATAGATACAAATATTTAAGTAAATGCTCTGTTTATAATAAACAGTATTAACAACATTTAGCGGCCTGAATGTCCGAAAAATTATAGAAAATATGTGTCCTCCGACAGGAATCGAATCTGTATCCTATACGGAACCGTAGTATAGCCTATGAAAAATTTCTCGGACATTCAGGCCGGTAAACGTTGTTAATACTGTTTATTATAAACAGAGCATTTATTTAAATATTTGTATCTATAAAAAATAACGGAAAAACATAAAAAATATCTTAAAATAATTGTCGGATTTTGTCCATTTCAAAATGTATATATATATATATATATATATATATATATATAATTATTTATATATTATATGCGCGGTACTTATTAGAACGCTTTTGTATCATCAGAGATAACAGTAACAGTTTGTTTGGTTGGATAGATGTGAAACCCAGGGACCCTCACATTTCCAACCAAATATGTTAGCTCGTCATCAAACAGTTTAGTGAGTTTCTAATAAGTAGCGCGCATATATATATAAATAATTATATATATATATATATATATATATATATATATATATATATATATACACTTTCACACATATATATATATATTTATATACACACACTTTTCACATATATATGTGTGTGTGTGTGTGCGTATATATATGTGTGTGCGTATATATATATATATATATATATATATATTTCAATGAAAAACTTGCGTGGTTTTGTTTTGTTTGGTATTATTTTTAATTAGTGCACATTTCATGAACTCAAGATGCGAAGATTGGTTTTTGCTTGCCAGAATATTCCTTTGTCTTTTTCGTTTCACTTCGGAAACGCGTCCATTATTTTGACGACCTGATTGTGTCGCTTCCACGTCTTCCACGCCTTTCTGTGGTGTTTTAGGGCCTTCTCACTGCCGTCAAAAATGGCGAACAGAGAGATGATGAGACAGATCACACCGGGCACGGTCCAACCAGACCACATGAGCCACAGGCAGGCGACCGCAAAAAGCGTCAGCACACTCAAACAAAGTAGGTCGGTGGCCATATCCGACCTTATCTTCTGGTTTCGGGGGTCGACAAGAAAGTCGACGAACGGACGGAGCACGGGCCGAACGATTTTGAATTTGTAGCCGCAGATTTCACAGCAGTTCTTGCGTGATGTTGTAAGCCAAGAGTGCAGGCAGTGGGCGTGTACGTAGCGCATTGACCCTGTACAGTGACACGGTGACGTCATTGCTGACGGTCCTTGAAGACTTCCGGTGTCGTGACATATCCGACACAAGTAAATCGGTGATGTCGTTCCGTCTGTGGGTTCGTCCGAACTCGGAGCTTTGGAGAGATTTTTTTTATCCGTAGGCGAACATACTTCCTGGTTCAATACACCACCATCTTTATTTATACAGCTAATTTCCGGCAAACTTATATTTTCTAATATGTCCCTGGACATTTCAGCCAGTGATTTGGTTTTTATTCTACACCAGCGGCAATCGGAAAAAAATCTATATATATATATATAAATCTTATAATACTGTTTAAACTTTCCCTGGGGTTGTTTTCGTTAGATGGATTTTGTTTTGTTTTTCCGCCCTTTTTAAATAAATAAAAAGGGGATTGATTGTGCATCTACCAGAATTTCATTTTGTTTAAGTGAATCAATTTACAAAAGTAACCCCTGTCGCTGGTCTATTTAATTGTGATTTGAAACTAAAGATTTTAAATGTGTCTCTATTTTGGACTGATGACGTCAAGGCGAGTGTTTTTCAAATTGTGACGTAAATGACGTCTAGAGTATTTGCATCGAAAAGAAACAAAAAACGCTTACAAAACGAGCCCTAACGTTATTTTGTTTACTTTTTAACCATTTTTTTTATTAGTAATAATGTTTTGTTTAGTTTTTTGTAAATAAATTTTGTTAACCATTGTAAATATTCATTGGGGTTTATAAATTTTTAAAAGTTGTTTTTGCATTCCCCACCCCTCCACTGAAAAAAAAAATGTAATATGAGGAGTAGTTAAAAAAACCTCAATGGGTTATTTAATGCCGACAAGATTTTTATTGCTGGCAATATTTTTTCCTAAAAATGTATTGATGGCAATATTTTTTACCAAAAATGTATTGATGGTAATATTTTTTACCAAAAATATATTGATGGTAATATTTTTTCCTAAAAATGTATTGATGGTAATATTTTTTTACCAGAAATATATTGATGGTAATATTTTTTATCAAAAATGTATTTATGGTAATATTTTTTCCTAAAAAAGTATTGATGGTAATATTTTTTACCAAAAATGTATTTATGGTAATATTTTTTCCTAAAAATGTATTGATGGTAATATTTTTTACCAAAAATGTATTGATGGTAATATTTTTTACCAAAAATATATTGATGGTAATATTTTTTCCTAAAAATGTATTGATGGTAATATTTTTTACCAAAAATATATTGATGGTAATATTTTTTCCTAAAAATGTATTGATGGTAATATTTTTTACCAAAAATATATTGATGGTAATATTTTTTACCAAAAATGTATTTATGGTAATTTTTTTTCCTAAAAATATATTGATGGTAATATTTTTACCAAAAATGTTTTGATGGGAATATTTTTACCGAAAATGTATTGCTTGCAATACTTATTTTCTTAAAAAATTCATTGCTGGTAATAATTATTTACAAAAATGTATTGATGATATTAAAACCTATTTTTACACTTTCATAGTGTTTTGACCCCAGTTTGGGAGTTAACCATTTGTCCATAGTTGGGACCATAACAGGTGCTACTACTCCGGATCAGGGTGGACGTGGGAACACCAGCAATTAAAAGGTGTTTCCACGCACCTTCAAATCTCCTGATCAAAGGCCTTGCTGTTGAATGTAGTTTATCATCTTAACCAGGGCGCGGATATAGTTTATCGTCTTACCCAAGACGCGACTAGTTAGCACTTCATAGATTTATTGAGGTCTTATAGTGGTTGTAGTAAGAATGGTAAGTCAGAATGTGGGGTTTTGGTGCATGGGTTATTGTAACATGTCTGGGTCAGTGGTTGTGGCTAGCTAAGTTTTAGTATAAGACAGATGAAAATCAGCCTTTTCCTTTCCCTATTATTGGCCTTGTGTCCTACTTGTACTCATATATTTACCTATTGATTCAGATCAGAATCGTCGAATTCATCCTCTACAAGTTTTCTTTCAAATATTTTAAACAACAACAATAGTAAAAGAATTTTGTTATGATGCATCTCAAGATTCCCAACCTACCCAGTTGTTTTTTGCACCCCCCCACTTTTTATCTTGACTGGACCAGCCTTTGATAATTCTCCAGTCCGTAATTTATTTTGTCTCTTCTTTGCCCCTAACGAGTGTGCTGCCTGATTCTGTTCAGCGGTAGAATACAGTGGGCTCTCCTATTTTCTGTTGGATGGACAGTCCTACTAACATATTTTAATTTTATTTTAAATGTTTTGTTGTATTTTATTTTCGTTATTGCGTACACGCACCGTCGAATTTCATGTCATAATGTTGTATATTTTGTTATGATAAAACTGCTGTAGCATACCTACGGACGATAATGGGTATGTCCCCATTCACATAAATACAGTAGGTAGTAAATACTGTATGTTGGTCTGCAGTCGGAGGTTCGTCTCCAGCTTGACTATCACAGAGAGGATCCCCAGACGAGGCTCTGGCGAAGGGCAGAGTCTCGTCTCGGTAAACAGCTACCCGACCCAGTTTTATAGCGGGTGTACGGGGAATTTTTGGCCGAGCTACGGGCTCGGATACCCCACATTAAATTCGGCTTTGTGCCACACCTCGTATTCTGTAGTCGGAGATTCGTCTCCAGCTGTGCTGGTCAATCTCTCTGACTCCAGGCAGAGAGGATCCCCAGACGAGGCTATGTCGAAGGACAGAGTCTCGTCTCGGGAAACAGCTACCCGGCCCCGTTTTATACGGGGTCTACGGGAAATTTCTGGCCGAGCCTACGGGCTCAGATACTCCACATTAAATTCGGCATTGTGCCACATCTGACCGCGTGCGGCCGTTGGTAGATATCCTGCAGTTGAAGATTCATTGTGGAATTCACTTGATTGACTTCTAGCAGTTGACTACTACTTCTAACGAGCCGCTGGCTAATCTTATATATGTTGTTCTTGTCCTAAGTATTATCGTTCATTACCAACCTTCGTGTGATTATTCTATTCAGTAATGCTCCCTAGCTTACAAGAAAAACAACAAAAAAAAAAACAAAAAAAAAAAAACATCAAACAAAACAATTGTATATATTTTCATGCCATGACATCATCATAGCGGAAGCGATCAGCGAAGAAATTTGATTTTTGAAGCCGAGATAAACCCGACGACTATAGTAGAAAACGTAACAGTAACAAAAAGGTTTTTGTCTTTAATCACTGAAAAGTAATTCATTTAATATAATATGCTCAACTCCTATTGTTCTTCTCCCAACCGGTGGTAATACGACGCCTTCGGGAGGTGTTTTGTTTTATCTTTTCTTAAAAAATCATTTAACCTCAAACAAAGCGATAGTCATTCAGACGTAAGCGGTTACTGATAGGGTGTGAAATTGAGAAAACTTTATTAAAATATACAGTATGAAGACTGAAACTGAATTTAAATTGTTGACGGTCGTAGTCATCAAGAAAGCAAAAAGCCTGAAGTGAGTTTCACAAGCGGGAAAAGTAGGAGGAGAAATTATTAGAATAGGAGTTACGGTTACATATAACAATTTAAACAGTAAAATAATGTTATGTAGCTGCCAGTCTACGTTTGAATGATTTGTTTTCTACGGCTTATCAACCCTTGGCTGGTTATTTTAAGCCATAAAATATTTTTAAATTGTAAGATTTTTTTTCTAGATAATAATGATTTAGTGATACAATAGGTGGAGGGAGAAAAGGTAGATTCGTGAATATAACGAACCAAGTGAAATTTGGGACTCGGTTCTCAGATTAACAGTTCCGAGCCAGGATCCATTAAACCAACCGAACATTTAAGCTTACTGCAGCTAGTATTACCATGCGACAATCAATCTAGGTACTGACCATAGTCGATATTAGTTAACTACGTTCATCGTGCGGGGAATGTGGTTTCAACGCTATTTGTCCCTAAGATTTAGCATACAAGCATTGCGCTTAAATACGCGATAACGACGTAGAATAAAGCTGATCAGAATTCGTCATAAGGAGGTACAAACGAAATGATAAAAATAAATCTGTAATAACGAGGTACGAAATAGGTGATCAAAATAAATTGGTGATAACGAGGTACAAAAGAGCTGATCAGAATAAAAGCGTGGTAACGATGTACAAAAGAATTGATCAGAATAAATCCGTGATAACGAGGTACAAAAGAAATGACCAGAATAAATTCGAGATAACGAGGTAAAAAAGAACTGATTAGAATAAAACCGTGATAACGAGGTAGAATGGAGCTGATCTGAATAAATCTGTAATAACGAGGTACAAAAGAGCTGATCAGAATAAATCCGTGATAACGAGGTAAAAATGATCTGATCAGAATAAATTCGTGATAACGAGGTACAAAAGCGCTGATCAGAATAAATCCGTGATAACGAGGCACAAAAAGCCGATTAGTCTAAATTCGTGATAACGAGGTACAAAAGAGCTGATTAGAATAATTGCCAACAAGATATTTATTAAAAAAATGCATAGGGAAGCTAGGTCATGATGCTGAGAAGGAATTGAACCAGGTTCCATATTAGATATTAAATGCTTTCTTGCATGTATACATTGCATAATTTTTTCCGCTCTCTTATTCATTATCGATCCTGGGCTCCGAAACGGCAAGATCACCAATTTTTCTTCTTAGCGCATCCCTCACCCATTCATAGCTTTTACTTTTCATTACTATACTCAATCTTATCCTCAGTTGGGTTTTCTCTTCATTTTTTAATTCCCTGATATACCTAAACAGAGCAGTACTATTATGATAACTATTAAATCTGGACGGTTCTGCATGGTTGCTGCATCTCCTTTTAAACGTGCCCGCTTTCGAAGCAATATAATTCATTGTTGGCGGGGGCGGGGGTACTTGCAAAACTTACCCACTATAAGACAGATATTTAAAAAAATCTTTTTCATTGGTTTAATTTATTTAATTGCACCGCAAGATGATACAAAAAGACATGAAGAAGGTACTTGTTAGGTCTAAACTCGCACATTCCTGGCTTACATTGTAGTAATCATGTTAATTTCTAGGAGTAGATAGGGTTTCATATCGCCCTGTTCAAACTCCTTTTCCATTTATGGAACATGAGTAGAGGTTTGCCCCTGTTTAGTATTGGGCTTCCGGTTCATTCTATACTCTTCAACTTTACTTTCATTCCTAGTAAGCCCTTCTGATTTAGTGGCCTTATCGTTTTCCTTGGGGTAAAATGATTAAAAAGAAATTTACAACCGTACAAGAAAATTCATCTCATCTTCCCTGTTTAGGATTGTATTCCCGGTTCCTTCTAAAGTCTACATCAACTCTAAACTTCTAACGTCTCCGCCAAATTTTCTCATGTACAGTAGCTTTCATCGCTCTGTCGAGAAAATATAGAATCTACCTTCCTAAACTTTTCAGCAAAAATAGGTTTCTGAAGTCCAGTAGCAGTTATCGCTCTTTCCAGTATAGATGGAGGCTACCTTCCTAACCTTTTCAGGAAAATAGGTTTCTCAAGTACAGTAGCTGTTATCGCTCTTTCCAGTATAGATGGAGGCTACCTTCCTAATCTTTTCAGGAAAATAGGTTTCTCATGTCCAGTAGCTGTTATCGCTCTTTCCAGTATAGATGGAGGCTACCTTCCTAACCTTTTCAGGAAAATAGGTTTCTCAAGTCCAATAGCTGTTATCGCTCTTTTCAGTATAGATGGAGGCTACCTTCCTAACCATTTCAGGAAAATAGGTTTCTCAAGTCCAGTAGCAGTTATCGCTCTTTCCAGTATAGATGGAGGCTACCTTCCTAACCTTTTCAGGAAAATAGGTTTCTGAAGTCCAGTAGCTGTTATCGCTCTTTCCAGTATAGATGGAGGCTACCTTCCTAACCTCTTCAGGCAAATAGGTTTCTCATGTCCAGTAGCTGTTATCGCTCTTTCCAGTATAGATGGAGGCTACCTTCCTAATCTTTTCAGGAAAATAGGTTTCTCATGTCCAGTAGCTGTTATCGCTCTTTCCAGTATAGATGGAGGCTACCTTCCTAACCTTTTCAGGAAAATAGGTTTCTCAAGTCCAATAGCTGTTATCGCTCTTTTCAGTATAGATGGAGGCTACCTTCCTAACCTTTTCAGGAAAATAGGTTTCTCAAGTCCAGTAGCTGTTATCGCTCTTTCCAGTATAGATGCAGCCTATCTTTTTAACCTTTTCAGGAAAATTAGTTTTTAAAGTCCACTAGCTCTTTCCAGTATTGACGGGGGCGGTGGGGTCCTTCTTAGCTTTATATTTGAGAGTAGTGTGGATCTTCCGGCTCTTGATTAGGTCATTATTTTTCCTCAAATTGCATGTGAATCTGTAGCGCCGGTCCTCAATATTCATCGATGGATGATCTTTGAGAAGTCCTTTAGGCTTCACTCACTCAAAGTCTTTTTTCAACATTAATCTTAGGAAGCCGTTGTATACAACTGGCAGCTTAGATATTTCTGGACTGCTTTGGCGCCGTGCATGACAACCATATGAAAGTCTCGCTCTGATGTGGCTATCTAAGATAGATTTCTTCTATACTTAAATTTTTATAACTGATTCATGTCACAAAGAACTATTTGAAGTGCTAGGTAAGCTTGATTTATTTTGGGATGGATATAAAATAATCCAGAACTTGTATTGGTCGCGAACCACCTGCATGAGGATAGACAACTAATTTCGGAAAATACACAAAAATAGAAATGGATATAAGACAAAGATGTGTCTTCTCACCAGACTTAGGAAACCTTTACAGTGAAGCAATCTTGAGGAAATTGTGAAGAACCATGATCGTCCACGACCTGAAAGGACATGGCATATAGATAAGAGAAGAAAGATGCATTTATCAATGAAAAGCATTGTTTCCTTGCTACTTTTTCTGATCTACCAAATCTGGAGAATCGTCTTCCTGTACCTGCCATTTCCCATCAGGACTATGGCGATCATGATCCTCCACAACTTCTTATCGTTTTGTAAAAATTGTTTATAAAATTTGTCTTTTTCTAGCCCTCCCAGTCTGTTTTGCCAACCATTAGGTAGGTTATTCGTTGTTTTCCTTTGTCCCTTTTGCTTTCAGTATGCCCTGTGATTGTCAAATTCTCCAAACCCTCTTTCCTCATTATGTGGCCTACAAATTTCAACCTGATATTTTATAAATGTGCATTTTGTATCCATTTTCTCTTGAAGTTCGTCGTTGCTCACATTTTCTATTCCTGGTATTCTCAGCATCCTTCTGTAGAACCACAGCTTCAAGTCTCTTAATATTTAAGGAGATTGCTCAGTATTCATTGCCGTATGATATCACGCAATAGTTCAGTACTCTTTTCTTTGTTTCTGTTTGTTAATACTCTGCTTAGCTTCTGGGATACATCTTTGGCTATCCCAATTTTTGTAGTTGCTTGATTTTGGTATCCCCAATGTGTAATTTGCATTTTGGGCTGATCCCTTTTGCTAGCAACGATGCATTATGTCTTCTTGCTCTTATCGTATTTATTTCTCTACAAGGCCGACTAAAGAATAAAAATATCTTTTTCCTTTTTACCTTGGGTGTCGTGAAGCAAACAGAAGTTTCAAAAATTTGTCTTTTTGTTATTTCTCCTAAACCTTCTTCTGCCATCCATTTACTCAAATTCACTAAGTATGTCATGCGTGTGTTTTCCTCTGTTTCTCTGGCCTTCAATCTGTCCTGTGAGTATTAGATTTTCTAAGCCCTCCTTCCTCATTATGAGGCCCAGAAATTTCAACTGTCTCTTCTGTTGTAATTTTTGTGTACACTTATATACTAGTGAGCCAGCCAAAATGAGCTGACTCATTTTATAGTTCACCAATAGAAGAGTTAACTAATCAGAAGGCTCAAAATATTCAATGCGACGTGTATAAAGGCGGCCATGTTTTTTCCGAATATTCACTGCCAGCCTTTGATATCGAAGACTGAAGAATTACGGAACAGCTGCTGGTGGTATTGACGATATAGTCAGATTCAGTAGAGTGTCTGACT